TCCATACTCCACCAAGGATGGTCCTTCCTGAAACTTTAAACCTCTAAGTTTCTGCCTATACCTCTCTGATAATATCTGATAAGCCAGTAACACAACATCCTTCATCATCTCATAATCTAAAAAATTTATGTTCCTCTAGAGAACTAACAGCTTGTAACTCTGTAGATGAATGGTTCAGAGAACCGACATGTTGATAAATTAGACACATGTGCAACTCTTGGGTATCTTTATTGAGGAAACGTTTCGCCACACAGTGGCTTCATCAGTCCAAGTTCTTCAAGATTCTCCTTTGTATGGACTGATGAAGCCACTGTGTGGCGAAACGTTTCCTCAATAAAGATACCCAAGAGTTGCACATGTGTCTAATTTATCAGCTTGTAACTCCTTACCAATTAACTGTTTTTTGTTAATGTGGCCCAGTTACTGTCTGGCCACTTTTTGGATTTTGATATTCTTTCAAATAGAAAAAAAATATCAGGATCTTTTTCATCAAATTTTGGCACAAACTTAATTGCCTTACCCAAATTAAATATGTCTACTCTGTTACCTGTTACGTGTTCTGAAGCATCAAACTTTCTTTCTCTTTCCTTAGCCCTAAATGTTTCTAACTCTTTCTCTTCCCATATTTTAGTACGTTCTATCCTTCTCAGATCCTTTTTTTCCATAATTAGAGCTAGTTTTAATTTAAAAATTTTGCTTCATTACTGTTATTATCAGTGGTGTTTGATCCAGGATCCTCCCAGACTCCCGTCAACACTAGAACCTCTACTACTTGATCCAGGATCCTCCTAGACTCCTGTCCACACTAGAACCTCTACTGTTTGATCCAGGATCCTCCCAGACTCCTGTCAACACTAGAACCTCTACTGTTTGATCCAGGATCCTCCCAGACTCCTGTCAACACTAGAACCTCTACTACTTGATCCAGGATCCTCCCAGACTCCTGTCAACACTAGAACCTCTACTCCTTGATCCAGGATCCTCCCAGACTCCTGTCAACATTAGAACCTCTACTACTTGATCCAGGATCCTCCCAGACTCCTGTCAACACTAGAACCTCTACTCCTTGATCCAGGATCCTCCCAGACTCCTGTCAACACTAGAACCTCTACTACTTGATCCAGGATCCTCCCAGACTCCTGTCAACACTAGAACCTCTACTCCTTGATCCAGGATCCTCCCAGACTCCTGTCAACACTAGAACCTCTACTGTTTGATCCAGGATCCTCCCAGACTCCTGTCAACACTAGAACCTCTACTGTTTGATCCAGGATCCTCCCAGACTCCTGTCAACACTAGAACCTCTACTACTTGATCCAGGATCCTCCCAGACTCCTGTCAACACTAGAACCTCTACTACTTGATCCAGGATCCTCCCAGACTCCTGTCAACACTAGAACCTCTACTGTTTGATCCAGGATCCTCCCAGACTCCTGTCAACACTAGAACCTCTACTACTTGATCCAGGATCCTCCCAGACTCCTGTCAACACTAGAACCTCTACTACTTGATCCAGGATCCTCCCAGACTCCTGTCAACACTAGAACCTCTACTCCTTGATCCAGGATCCTCCCAGACTCCTGTCCACACTAGAACCTCTACTGTTTGATCCAGGATCCTCCCAGACTCCTGTCAACACTAGAACCTCTACTGTTTGATCCAGGATCCTCCCAGACTCCTGTCAACACTAGAACCTCTACTGTTTGATCCAGGATCCTCCCAGACTCCCGTCCACACTAGAACCTCTACTACTTACTGACATCTTAGAAATTAATATCACAAAACACTTACTTATTACAGTAGAAATTACTTACATAAAATAATAAATCACACAGCAAAGTACATAGGTAAATTAAATTATTATTATTCACAAAGAATTATTATTAAATAATTTCAAAATCATTAAATGTCAACACAAAAATCAGGCAGAAAAATAATTACATTAGTTACACTTTTTAATATAAAAATATTACTATTAATATTTTATAATAAATCTTTCCTTCAAATTTCTAGATTAACAAATTTGAACTATAATTCAAAATTTGATAATTTTCCTTCAGTCCTCCATGTAATGTACTTTTTATGTTACTTAAAAATAAACACTGGCGCCTAGGGGTAAACAGCCTGTCTAGGGCCATTTAAAATGACATAAATCAGCCTACCCAGGACCAAAATTGTACCTTCACACTACGTGTGGATAAAATATTATGTTTATTATAGGGAAGGACACAAAAACTCACCTATACCCTCCAGGTATACCCCCTGCTGTTTCTGTCACCTGACTGTTGTGGGTCGTATCCAGAAAAAAAAAACTGCAAGGAAAGTGTGATACAAACGTCAGGACTGCAAGAAGTCATACCCTAAGAAATGAAGGAAACTTCAGTACCTGCTGCAAGTGAGCAAGTGTTGGGTACAAGATTTCCCAAATTGTAGCATCTTCATTGATTGATAATTAAAAAGTGTCTCTGTCTCTAGGGTTCTTTAAGTTACTGAGTGATGCTAAATATATACTGCAAGTAAATTATCTAAATAAAACACTTCCGTTGTTACTCACTCCTGAGAGAGAGAGAGAGAGAGAGAGAGAGAGAGAGAGAGAGAGAGAGAGAGAGAGAGAGAGAGAATATTGCTAGTCATCGAGAGGGGATAGAAACAGAGTGAGCAGGTGGGTGGTCTGAAACAAGGCAGCTCACTGATCTCCAGCTGGGAGCATCCTGTTCCCACCCCCACACACTACCTATTTCCCCCATCCACCCACCCACCCTGACAATCCCCTTCCCTCCACACGCTGACTCAAACCTCCACACCATTACACTATCCTTTACACCCCCTCACTCAACCCTCTTCTCCACATTCTGACTCAAACTTCTACTCCAAAGCTTACTAATAACTGCCATAGATAATCTAACCATCTATCAGTTATATAAACGTATGAGAAACTATTACATTCCTTGCTTCGTGGAGAAGTTAGAAGAATGACTTATTCGTGTTCTATCCGCTCTGGGAGTGACTTGACCTGGAATGGAGAATATGACCCGAGGATGAAGGAGATTGGTTGGTGTGTTTACTAATTAAAACTGCACATAACCAGTACACTACCTAACAATATACTCTGAGAGATATACACCTCTCAGTGTATGTAGCTTGGTTGGAAAGTGTGGGGAGAGTTGGATTCTACATATTTTAGTTAAAAAATGAAGTATGTGAGAAAATACCTGTAACTAGTATTCTGAAACATCGAAATATTATTATTATTATTAAAGATTCGCCGATATTCTCCCGGCCCGGGCCTTTTCCAAGTGGTGGCCCGGCCTTGGCTCATTGTCTTGGGAGTGTCTGAGACCTAAGTCTCCCATGGGAGGAGGCACAAGTACACCCTCATCTTTGGGACCAATTGTCCCCAGGCCTAGCTTCTGGTAGGGAGAAGCTAGGCCTCTCTGGTCTACCATCCCCACCCCGGGACGGGGCTAATGAGAATGACAGTCTTGTGAGCTGCAAGCTCGGTCTCAGGCACCTACCCTACCCTAGAAAGGCTGGGCATGGTGTCGATCATCGAAATATGCAATAATAATATTGATGTTATGGTTACTGAGGACCTATAACGGTACAAGTGGTAGGATAAACTGACTTGTTTACCACCGTGGCACCTGACATGTTGAAGGTGATATGTCTGAAACACAGCCATAAGTTCACCTTCCTAGTGGTTATAATCATAACCATAGTTTTTACAGCGGTGGACCGGTAAGCCAGAGGAAGGCTTCGGTCAGATAACCAAAAGCTACAGCTACGGGTCCTGTTTCCTGACAAACTTGACCTAACCTAAGCTAACGCTGCCGTGTATGGTTGTCTATACACCATGAATTTGGTTGCCGTATGTGTGTGTTATTACGACTACATGTGACTTTTACACCACCTAAAATAGTTATTTAAGAAAATTTTCAGTGTATAACCTATAGGTGTATATAAATCTGAGTGAGAGGTGTATGTGTGTCTCAGAAAAATATACGCCAAGAGTTTAGTCACTATTTCAGCGATTAAAATATATTTGATTGGTATTATCAAATTTCTCCAGTGAACGATACTAATGACCTCTAGTGTGGAAACACTAAAGCTCAAGCAGCCTATAATAATAATAATAATAATAATAATAATAATAATAATAATAATAATAATAATAATAATAATAATTATTATTATTATTATTATTATTATTATTATTATTATTATTATTATTATTATTATTATTATTATTTTTTTATTATTATTATTATTATTATTATTATTATTATTATTATTATTATTATTATTATTATTATTATTATTATTATTTTATTATTATAAATACTATATTAAACTCAATGAGCTACAGCACAAACGAGCCAACACGTAAACAAAAAAACATGAAATAAAAATGAATATTCATTTAATTGCTACTTTATTGTCTCCATGAAGGTTCCTTTGAACCAGTGACCAGCGCTTTTTACACTTGTGTGTGTGCAGTGAGTTTGATTAAAAATGAACTAGTTCGTGCTGAAATAGATCCTGAATGCTACGCTATCATTGCTGAATTTGCTGTAACCTTGCCTAAAATGCTAGTTTTGCTTCCCTCAAAAAAGGTGTCAGGTAATGTCTCGTCTCCTTTTACCCAGGTCTTCATTTATAGCCTCTTTCACACTCATATAATCCCTCCACTCCTCTACCCCTTAACAAAAGCACCGACTTTGTTGATGCACGATTTCCATCACCATACATAAAAGAATAAATACCTCTCAGCAGTTCACCCTACAACACAACAGTGCCTCCAGCATCCAGGATATTTCATCTTAACTATCTTCTATCTAGAGATCTCTTTTTTTTTTTAAATGAGGTACAAACCCAGCTATGGTAAGCCAGCTGATACTTAACTGTTTATCATTTGACTATGATCCGTGTCAGGAAATACTCCCCCGTTACCTGACAAATAAAATACGCTCGTATAGCATACCCATTTCCTCCTTCAACAGGCTGTGTCCCTGTTGCTGCTGCCAGGGCTGCTACTGTTGCTGCCGCCGCCGCGGCTGCCATGTACGGCCTACTGCTGGAGAACCTGAGCGAGTACATCAAGACCGAGTATGGAGAGGACAAGTGGGAGGAGATTCGACACGAGGCCAACATCCAGCAGCCGGTCTTCAGTACACATAAAGTCTACAACGAAGGTCTCATCCCACGCCTCGCTGCCGCTGCTACCGGGGTCAGTCACCGTCCTTTTTGTGTCCCTATTAGTCTCTCGGTCTGACAGTAGTCCCACTGTCTGCCTTGGGAAATATATGTGCTATTTTAATCATTAATTCGCGTTTCTCTCTTCTATAACTACTGTGTTTTTTTTTTTATAATACGGTACGGCATCTCTGTCATCTTCCCTCCTGTTTCATGTGGTCAATAGCTGGAGGAAGAACGTATAGAGAGCGTCTTCTGCTTGACTATCTTTGTCGCAGTCATCTACCGTAGATAACAGATGATAGTCCCTAATTACAGTAGATGTAGATTATCCTTATCAGCGGAGAGCTCCCTATCTCTCTCTCTCTCTCTCTCTCTCTCTCTCTCTCTATATATATATATATATATATATATATATATATATATATATATATATATATATATATATATATATATATGTATATAATATATATATATATATATATATATATATATATATATATATATATATATATATATATATATATAAATATATATATATATATATATATATATATATATATATATATATATATATATATATATATATATACACACACACACACACACACACACACACACACACACACACACACACACACACACACACACACACACACACACACACACACACACACACACGCCATCATATTATTTCTGTCTTGTATCTTGCTCGCCCATCTCATCTGCGCTGTGGCATTATTTAGGGTTTCAAAACTCCTGCTGTGTCAAGAGCTTCGTAGCCTTCCTGCCTCTCACACCTGTATTTATGTATTTACCTCATCCTAATATAAATATATTTTATATTTCATCCATTACCTTCTCATTCCCTGCTGCACTAACTCTCCCGCACCTCTTCTGGGCCGACCAGCCTCCCCTTCATATTATCACGCCATTCATGTCCCTCTTCCGTTTCATTCATTCCACATATCAATCTACATCCTCTCCCTTTCCCATCCACTACACATTTTCTCTCATTCTTTTTCTTGATTCCCCTCTCCTTTCTCATCACTCATTGTTTGATAACCGTATTCACACTTTCCTCATTCCCTTTCTCTCACCCACATTATCTTCCCAACACTTTTCTTCCATCTCATCCCATTCCATACCTCTCCCCACATCTGATGCCTCACAGCCTTCCAGCCTGCTTGAGTGAGCCTTCCTGACTGCTACAGGTTCTGGGAGTGACCAAGGAGCAGATCATGTTCGGGATGGGTGAGTTCTTCGTGGAGTTCGTGGGACAGTACGGCTATGATCGGGTCCTCTCTGTCCTGGGAAGACACGTACGGGACTTCCTCAACGGTGAGACCATCTTCACTGCACTTTTCTCCCTAGGTGTATACTTAGGAAATGTTTCGCCCGAAATTTTCTACTTGCTAGTGGCTTTCTTTGTGCTTAGCAATATTTAATTACTTGTAAACTACATTTTATGGGCAAAACGTTTCTTAAATTAAAATGTCCTAAGTGTTGCATAAGTGTTTTTATATCATAATTTGTTGGTATTGAGATACTAGTCAGTGGTGTGTTGTTCGTCAGGAAACCGGACCGTGCCTCCAGACACCGGTATTGGTCAAATAAAATCATAATTTGATCAAGACCCATGTCAGGGGACGTTCAATGCTTAACCATCAACTAGCCTATGAGAGCCTAGACTTCCCCTTCATTTAAAAACAAAGGGTGACAACATGGTAAGAATCCCAAGGTGTTTCAGATACATGTAGAAGTTTGTCACTAAACCAGGTACGGGTTTAGTGACTAGTCAGTAAGTTGTAAAACTCTAGGCTAGTGAGTGGTTAGTCTGCAGTCGTGTTACTGCGATTTTGCGAGTCTTATCACTAAAACACACGCTTGTTTTTCCCCTCAGTCGGACATGTTATGCCTCCTGCAGAATAAACGTAATTTCTTGAGATCTAGTAACAGAGGGGTGGTTATGAAGACAACAGTGTGGTGAGAAATCCACTAATGAGGGGTGGTTATGGCCATTATCAAGTAGCAAGAAAATCTAGTAGAGTAGTGGTAATAAAGACCATATTATAGCGAGAAAGAAATAATTATTACTTTGTCCAGGTCTTTGTTTATTCTTCTAATGTTCGTATAACTGATAACAATTATAGTAGTAGTAGTTACACTGGTAATAGTATACTATTACCACTACTTCTATTACCAACATTATTTTTGTCGGGATAGTAAAAATATTTTTAATACCATCAATTTACATTATCAAACTGTCTTTCATTGTTTATTTTTATATTAAAAAATGTATGCTATTATCAATATTTTAATCTTTAAGTCTTCCTCATTTTCGTGTGACAGAGGCGGAAGTAGCTAATGTTGAGTTCCAGTTAAAACCTTATTTTAAGAGCTGAAGAGCTTTCTTGTGTTATCATTAATTTATCTCGTAATTAGGTGGAATTAGGTGGATGGGATACGTCCTGTCTTGGATTACAAAGGGCGGAGGCTCTTTCTCTCCTCACTTGATTCCTCCCTCTACTATCCCCCTCTCAAACTTTCTCCATTCATATAATCCTTCCTTACTCACTAGCTCCTTTAGTATTTCCGTCCCTCAATCCCTCCATTTTCTCCTGTATCTCTCCCTTCATCTTTTCTTTTTCTTAATTCCTCTCTTCCTCATTCCGAGACTCCAATAAATTTTTCTTCTCATAGCCGGAAACTTAATATCCTCATTCCAAGACACGATATTTTGTCGTGGGGATAATTTGTTGAATTACATTACTGCTTGCTTCCGTCCCACCCACACATCACCACCATCCTCCATGACCATCACCAGAAAGTGTTCCTCGTCTAACAGGTCTGGACAACCTCCACGAGTACCTGAAATTCTCATACCCTCGCATGAAGCCTCCGTCATTCTTCTGCGAGAGTGAGTCCAGCACGGGGATGCTCCTCCATTACCGCTCCAAGAGACGAGGATATGCCCACTACACCATGGGTCAGATCACGCAGGTAACACCAACAGTCGACAACGCACAGCCAACCTCTGGATGGCTCTAAGGACCTGTCCTATATTAATCAAAACGCCTAGACACAGTCTTTTTTATTTAATTCACCTTATACACACTTATGTCCTGCTCTTTTTTTTATTAATAACACTTTATACACACTCTAAACCTGCCATATTATACACAAAAGACTTTGTATACATTAGTGGGGCCACAAAATTTAATACACATTTAGGTCTTCCTTCGCTAGGCTGTCCCATATTATATGTTGAAATGTAAGTATATATATAAAAAATGGACAGATAGGACAATACTGCGAAAATTAAAAACGTTCTTTGTCAAAATGTTATTGCTTTTTTATTTCAAATTCAGAGTAACTCACATTTGAAATGAATATAATAATAAACCTCAACAGCAAAATCAATCATTATTACAGGACACATTAATATGAACTATAAAACTTAGTTTCATGTTTATCTGATATAATAACGAGTCTCTCAATAATAGTCAATATCCATTACTGCACAGCGCTACATCAGTAGGTAACGTAGACTTTCTGGTGCCTCCTGACAAGCCTCGTGTATTGTTTATTTCTGGATAACATCTTCCGTCAGAGTGGAGTTGTACACGTCAGGTAAAACCCAGAGCCAACATTATATTTTACGTCTCACGTTCGGTTATATGTCATTCAGTGTTATTGAAGTTAACCAGATAACTTCACTCACTAAAGGGAAAAAACATATACATCTAAATATGAAAAAATTAAACACAAATGCAGTATAATGAGATCCTTTGTTTACTACGAAACGTAGTCAATAAAGGAATTGCATTGTACTATATTTGTTTTTTGTTTTTCATCGTGTAGGTATTTTATACCTTTTATCTCCACCTTTTGATCAGTCGATTTTTGTTAAGCAGAGGCGCTTATTTTGCGATGGAACAAGGGCAGCCTTGTAGATGAATGGTTCAGAGAAGCAACAAGTTGATAAATTAGACACATGTGCAACACTTGGATATCTTTATTGAGGAAACGTTTCGCCACACAGTGGCTTCATCAGTCCATACAAAGGAGAATGGTGAAGAACAGGTGTTTGAGGTAGCTTATATACCGTAGGTAGGAGAGATGTAGCAGTCATAGGTGGTGTCACATTTGTCCAATGTAGAAGTAGGTCGTGCCCAAGGGTTAGGCAAGTGAAGAATTCCCTGTATTAAGATGCTGTATTTTTTCAAGATTGATGGACTGACCACATCGACTCAAGGCTGAGTGACTGATTATCTCAAACTCCTCCTGTTCTTCCCCATTCTCCTTTGTATGGACTGATGAAGCCACTGTGTGGCGAAACGTTTCCTCAATAAAGATACCCAAGTGTTGCACATGTGTCTAATTTATCAAGGGCAGCCTGGTGGCGTGGTAAATTTTCAACATTAAACTCTTACATATAGACATAGACTAATACACTCCCAGAACACGTTAAATACACTCTAGGTCTGATATTTTTTAACTCTATGTAGGCATTACTTAAAACACCTTGTATACACTCTTTTACTGCTTTCTTAATCAAAACACCCTACATAAAGTTTCAGTATGTCTTATGTTACTCCAAACAATTTTAGAATATAATGGTGACATCAGTCAACAACAGCCCAGATTGAATATTGATAAATGCTGCACTTGATCCCACCTTTGCTCTATAACCCGCCTTTGTCCTCCGGTAGGTAGCGAAACACTTCTACAACACCGAAATGGAGGTGAAGCTGGTGAGGGAGGAGTTTATTTTTGATACCTCTTACGTGACCTTCGAGTTGACCTTCGACAACCAGGCCTTCACCAATCAGATGGCCCTCACCCTCATTCGCGACGAGCAGATGCTTCCCCTGAGAGGGAACCTGCTCTTCGAGATCTTTCCTTTCTGTATACTTTTCGGGTAAGTTTACAGGATGCCAGCTAACCTGTCATCATTTTAACACCGTCTCTTCGTATTTTCGAATTTAACTACTTCTTTCTGTAACTGGTTCTAAGAAATTTATCCTGTATTTTTGTCACGTATTTTTATTAACGTGTAATTGACTATCTTATTTACAGTGTTTCCTCTTTTCAAAGGTACGTTTTCTGCTTGCAAGCTTTCTTCACGTTTCAGATTTCTTAGTGTAACCTTTGGATACCCGCAGGAACACGATGGTGGTGCGACAAATGGGCAACAGCATGATGCAGATAATGCCGGAAGTGCTGGGAAAGAAGCTCACTGATTGCTTCGACCTTATCAGACCTCACGTCGAATTCGATTTTAAGAGCGTAAGTAGTGATTCCTGTAATGCCTTCCTCAGGCACCAAGTATAACTTGAATTACACGTTACTCTAGATATCCAGACTTTAATTTTTATCTACATATGATTGTTTATATATGATACATTGTAAATATGCATATATATGATGTATTGTAAACATACAAAGAAATCGATTGTAAATTCTGTAGCACTTACTTATCTTTGCCAGAAAATCACGGCTGTTTTGGTTTCCCAAAGTGATGTATGGTAACAATGGTTATTTAAACAGCCATTTCACCTCACAAACATATATATGGTTCCCTGTTATACTTATATAAGTATAAGAAGAAATATTAGCAATGATAAAACCAATGAAAACTATGAAGCGAGAAGATAAGAGGAAGCCGAAATGCAAGATATATCTCTTTAAATATATCGTGTGGTCACTTAGATTCCTTAAACTCCCGGAACAGCTTCTTAACCTTCCCTTGGGCGGTGTAGTTCATCCCTTTTCCTCAGAGATCCATCATACTTACTTTTTAAATCCGTGTGTGGTGTCAGCTTTTGCCACTTAATTTTCCGCTTTTTAATTTTTATTTGTTCTTGCTTTGTTGAAATGACCTATGCAGCCGTGTTTCTCCCCTTATCTAATCAACCACGTCACCCACTTACACAATGTCTTTTTTCCTACGTAAATACCCGCGTCTCTCCCGTGTACCTAAACACTACGTCTCTTCCCTTAAACAATCATGTTTTTCGTTACCTCAACACTCAAGTCATTGTCCATACATAAACACAGATCTGCTTGTCCAACCCATACAATGTAATACATACCTCCCTTGACAGTGAAGAGCTGGGATGCTGATGAACACTGATCTAAAATATGGTCGGATAATGAATTAAGCTCATAATTTTGGTATAATATAACCTGTCGTCATATTTTTTTATATGAAACGCTAACTCCGCATAGATTATTCAGAGCAGTACCAGTGGAGGCTCCGTCTTCCGTCCACTACAGTGAAAGACAGAAGATGACCACCACAAACTATAAGACAGAATCTCGTGGCTGGAATAATTCACAACCAACACAGAAAATGCAAACTGACACTAGACGATGTTTCATTCCGCCCTCGCAACGAAACATCGCTAATTTTCGTTTTCAATTTGTGGGTTAGATATACATGGTCAACATTCTCACTAGATTAAACAAAAGTATTGCCATACGATGAACTAAAATCGATTACGTCGCACCTGCACAGATCCTGCTACGCACCAACAACGTCTTCGAGATGGCGACGACAGCTGCGGCATTCCAGAACAGACAAAGGATAAACGGGGATGTACATGGAGGTACTCTAGCCATAGACGAGGACGAAGTAGCGGACAAATCCTTCGGAATTAAAGGTATACAGTTTTCTATTAAATAAATCAATAAACTGAACATTTTTTTACTCCTCTCACATGTGCCTTGATAACGATACAGGAAGCCGAAATATCGTCTGATTTCTGCTTGTATGTTGTTGCCTAGGGGTCGAGTTTGGTGATGATTTAAGCAAAATAATCTACCTACAATTCTGTATCCACTGATAAGAAAGAACGAATTATTTACTTTTCAGAGTCATGACTGTCATGTCATGTTATAAATTTAAATACTTGTGTAAATTTTAATTAGGTGTGCTAGGTACCCTTTGTTTACTTGATCAAAAGTCTCTCGAGTCTCCAGCTGACTTAGGTGAGTTAGATAGGATTTGACGTGCTGCTGGAGCGTGAGCAAGGTAGCATTTGTGAAGGATTCAGGGAAACCAGCTAGCCTGCCATGACTCCTCGAGATAGCAAGTACAGTACCTGGACTCTGAAGGAGTACGTGAACTCTGTAGTTCGGATGGCCATCTGAGCTGTGATCTCAGCATGTTTCTGGCAGGAGTGATTGAATGAGTGACGATCAAAGTGTTTTCTCGTTTTCAGGTCACCTTACTTAGGTGGGAGACGGTCAGTATGTTAAAAGAAATATATATACATACGTGCAAAACAACCAGAGGGGGAGCTGAATGATAGCTCTAGACCTTTCGTGTTGCAACCATCAGGAGCTTGCAGTGTTACAAAAATGAGTGCGAAGTCCAAGTAGTGTCGTTCAAGGGGATTATTCTAGTTCGAATGAGCTAGAATAGTTCCCCTGAACAAACGATCCTAGTTCGATTATTATAATAAAAAAGAAGCGCTAAACCACAAGGGCTATACAGCGCTGTGATCCTAGTTACAGTTATTCCATATTCATATGTATTTATCTCATATTCTTTCACACATATTGTGGTGCTTCTCTCCACAGGTCAGATGATGTACATGGAGGAGTGGAAGTTGATCCTTTTCCTGGGTACACCTGTCATGAAGGACCTCAACTCCCTCATCTACGCCGGCCTTTTCATCAACGATCTTTCCATGCACGACTTCTCCAGGTGAGGGCGATCTCCAATCTGTACTTTATGTACTGTTTTTGTTTACAACTGTGGCGTCTTGTTCTGGCAGACATTAAGTTGCAGGAAAACACTGTTACTGCCAGAGCGCTTCCTCCAGGGTTTGATCTTATTATTTATAATTGACAGGTTCAGTCGTGGGGGAAACTTTCTCTTTTCATTCACTTGTCGGATTATGCCTGCTACCAGTGATCTATTCTCGTAGTGGATGACGCGAAGAAATCATCTCCATTTTCTAGTATTTTTTTTCTGATTTTGTTTGCCTTCATCAGGTCTTTTTGTTGTATCCTAACAACCATTGAGGGGTCTCTGTAATGTTTCCAGTCTTAAATCTTATTTTTTTTTTGGCTCTGAAGGCTATTTTATATCTCGTCTTTAGGCTTATTTTAAGTACAAACACTTTTAAATTGGTATACTTTAATTTTGGTCTAAAAGTCTGTGATTTTTTTTCTTACCAGTTCCCCCAAAATACATCAAAACGCTGCATCAAGTTTAGCTAGAATCTCATAGGAGCCTCTAGATATTTCATCAACATAGTCTTCCTGTGATAACCTCTCATGAATGATGGATTACAGGTGTCTCTCCATCTGACACATTTAACGGTTTAACATCTACATTCTTCATATTGCACATAATCGATATAGTTTTTCTATTTCCAATACATATTTAGATTTCCCTTATTTTCAGTATATATCTGGATTTTTCCATTTTCAGATTATATCACTTAGAGAATTTACAGTATATACTATCATTCCTTTATAACTTCACATTTATTATTTATTTTTGCATAGGGTTTTCCTTAATTTTCCTGCATTCTTCCTGGAAGATTAATTACATAAATTATAAACACTATTGAGGCAAGCACCGACCCTTGAAGGATCTCTCTTGTACAAGAAGGTACAAGTGGTGTTACGAATTTTTTTCGATACGGTCCATGGCTCTGACAGAGGGAACAATCCTGCCATCATGAAAAGGTAGTTACCGACAGGGTAATGATAAGACTATACTTGCCGATTAGTAACTACATGGATTGTGGTCACGGTGACAAATACTGTCGATAGAGCTCACGCTTAACAAGCTATTCAAACACACATGTAGATATAAAAATATACTGAGTTCTCTCTCTCTTTATCTTTTCCATGCCTTCTTCCAGGGACATGATCCTGGCGGGGACACAGCAGTCTGTGGAGCTCAACCTGGCGCTAGAACAAGAACAACAGAAGAGTAAGAAGTTAGAGGAATCCATGAAGAAATTAGATGACGAAATGAGACGTACGGACGAACTCCTGTACCAAATGATCCCCAAACAGGTGGCGCAGCGGCTAAGAAAGGGGGAGAACCCAGTCGATACCTGCGAGGTAAATTTCCTTTTCATTTAAACACTTGTTATTAAGGTATTTCCCACGAGCGCACATACTTGTTTAATGGTGTTTGTCACCTGTGATAGACCACTGTAACCACAATTGCAATCAGGTGATGCAGGAAACAATGATCGAAATAACATTCTCAAAGTAAATATTCTCCAGACTGAGTGCTTTAAGCTCAAAGAATTACAGTGCCAAAAACGTGACGTCTTGGTCTCTCCTCAGACGTTCGAGAGCGTGACGATCCTGTTCTCAGACGTGGTGACCTTCACGGAAATATGCAGTCGTATCACACCCATGGAGGTGGTGTCTATGCTCAATGCTATGTACTCCATCTTCGACAAACTCACCGAGAAGCACAATGTTTACAAGGTGAGCCTCTGATAGCGTGGAATATTAATTACTTGTATCAACCTCATTAGATACATACCAGTAATTTATAACAAAGATAATTATTCTCTACCAAGTGTTACTGAGGCATGTAGAAATTTTGAGACACCTTAGGTCGCCAAGAGAATGTACCCCTTCGATACCCACTAATATCATACCCCCACAAGTTACTCTGGACCTATATTAACTTCAAATTTAATAAACACCACCAGTAATTCTGGTAATAATATTTACATAAATTATGTGGACTGTATGTTAAATTGTCATAAATAAGAAATACATATACATTTTTATGTATCATATAAAAAAAAGTATTGATGTTACCAACACTCACCAATTTTGTCTGGAGATTATTTGGTGTAAATAGGTCAGCCACAACCCTGCCTAGATGTGAGGAAACTACTGGCCAGAATGTTAACATGTAGAGACGGTACTTATCTGGGTACCGGTGGTTCCTTATTATTCCTTTTCACATCTAATTTCGAAGTCCTGCCCAGTTGTTGGTTTCTCACATTCTGCAGGACAGTAACTCCAAGTATTATTGCTCCTATTTGAGAGGTTTCAACTACATTTAACCTCCAGAGCTACGAAATAATCCCTCCGATATCACTAACGTCTCGTCCTTCCCAGTTCTAACATGGCGTTCCTTCACCAAGCAACGCTACCCAGTCGCTGGTTCCCTTTTATATTTCCAAATTTATTTTTACCAACAGCAATGTATTTCATTAAATTAATTTACATGCAAAAACACACTATATTTCGGAAAATATACACTATTTTCCACAGACAATATGTCTGAAGATCTGCAAGATTTACAAAGGGCATCTTTAAGGCCTAAGAGGCTTATGTTGAAAGAGTATTAAGTTCATAACATCTCTATGTTGCACTTTTAAAGTGGCTTCCCAGGTATACTGGATATCATAGGCAATTTTTTTTTCGAGAATTCCTTATGTCACTCTGTACTTTAACGTTATTTTAAATATCGTTTGCATATTCTTCACACATTCAAAGGAGGATTTCAAAACATGTATTTTCGGGGCAGGAAATTTGTGGGTTACATCCAGTGTGGTAAACAATCTGCTATACGATACTTAACATGTTCAATGTTACAATAATTAGCGAATACAAGTTAAAACATTTATCAATTCGATTATCACTATGATTTTCCTGGAACGTCGTACAATAACAGATTAT